TCTTCAGAAGGCGGCGGGGCTTCCCAGGAGCCAACCAGCCTTCGGCGAGGCCCGCCGCGGCGTCGGAGGCGGCTTGGGACGCCTCTCAGAGGGGGCCTGAGGCCTTCTGAACCTTCTGGGAGGAGGCCCGCCCCCCGCTGCCTTCCCCCCCTTGGCGCGCCGCGGAAGCGAGGGGCCCGTGGCTGAGCGCCTGCTGAGGAGGCCCGCCCCCCGCTGCCTTCCCCCCCCCGTGGGCGCGCCGCGGAAGCGAGGGGCCCGTGGTTGAGCCTGCTGAGGAGGCCCGCCCCCCGCTGCAGTCGGGGCCCTGAAGAAGGAACCCTTTTCGTTAGGGAGGGGCTTCGCGTTCCTTAAGTGTTTCGCAGCTTGCCTCAGATTTTCCTGATGTTTTCGATCGGAAATCGAAGCTTAACTCATGGAAAAAAGGGGCCTCGTTCCTTATTTAGGGTTCCTTAGGTCAACGCCCCGACTGTACCTTCCCCCCTGGGCGCGCCGCCGAGTTAAAGGGCCCGTGGTCGAAACCACGGAGCGTTCGCACCGATCCCCCCGGTCGCCGGCGAGGCTCCCGCGCGGCCGCGCACTACCGGCGGCTCCTCGACGCCCGGTGCGAGGGCGAGGGTGCGCCAGCCCTGGGGTCAGGGGGGGGGCATAGGGAAGGAAGGTGATGAGGACGGCGACGGCGACGGTGACGACAACGACGACGACGACGATGACGACGACAACGATGTCTTGTTCTCAGTGCAGGAAGTGCTCCACTGGAAGACAACTCTCTGCGAATCCTAAATCGCGCCAGATCGCAATTCCTGGGGCCTCAGCGTCGCGAGTCAACGTGACCGTTCCGTCTGGACAATCTTAAATCGTGCCAGAAGGCCAGTCGTGGGACGTCAACACGGCGAATCAGCATGGCTGTTGCGTCCTGAAGTCCTGTTAGAACTCTATTGGGACTTCGACCAAGCGGCTCCTTTCGGGGGAGCGTAAGACCCGGGTTTGCCAGGACTCGGGTTCGCCATCGTTTTTTGACGACCGCGCATCGGATTTTGACGAGGAGGAGTTTCGTGGGATGTCTGCAGCGGGAGGCCTCGTCAAAATGCAGGCTCGGCCTCGTCATTTTTTTGACGACCTCGTCGGGGATTTCCGAGTCCCCTGTACCCAGGTCTTACGTCCCCCTGATCCTTGCGAACCTTCTAAACGAATACGGCCGGCGCTGAAGCGAGAGCCACCTTCTGAAAAAGAGCCGCCTTTCATCATCGGAACTGTTGCAGACCTTTCAAACAAGTGTGCGCGGCGCCAAGGCGAGACCCACATTTTGAAAAGGAGCCGCCCTCCCTCCGCGAAGCTGCTGCGCAAATCTTGAAGACGAATTCTCGCGGCGCTACGGCGAGAGCCGCACTTTTGAAAACCACCCGCCTTCCATCCGTGAAACTGTTGCAGGCCTCGAGAGGAGTGGTGAGGAGGTCTCGGGCGAGGCGCCTGGCCCGCCCTGCCGACACGTCTGGGGGTGCGACAGGGAGGAGTTATGTACAGAGCCGTTTTTAATACATGCTCCGCGTGCGGATCATGTATTAAAAACGCAGGGGCTTAGTATTGAAAACAACGATGAGTTCATGCATCAATTTATTCATATATCAATCATGAATTAAAAATACTATAGCTTTAACGTCCAATGTATCTAAAATTGCCCTGTACAAGGAAAAGGGGTGGAGAAGGGAGAGGAGGAGGGCAACCCCTCCTCTTTCTCCTGCTCCTCCTGGCCCGTGACCGCGCACAGTGCCATTCCCGGTTGTTGCTGTATTGTGGTGATGATCGATCAATCAGTAACCCCTCCTCCTCCTCCTTTCTTCCTCCTCCTACTCCTCCTTTCTTCCTTTCTGCCTCCACCTTCTTCCCCTGGATGCTGATGCATGCGCGTGGTCGCTGCAATCTCACATTCCCGACGCTTGTGCGCGCCAGCAGAAGAGAAGTAGTGAGGGGACAGCATGGCGGCCAGAATTTTGTTCAATGGCACGACGGTCTCGTTCAATGTTGCACGGCGGTGGGCAACGTAAGTCAACAGCGGTACGAAGCATTCTAGTCGGCAGTGACGTCGTCCCTTAATTCCCCAACGTGCTAGTTCCAGCTCGAAAGAACGAAACTGCAGCTCCAGATCGACCTGCGCTCATTCCGAGACGCAGCAAGCCTGACGGTTGTCGTATATCAGTTTCAGATGGCGAAGGCGCTCTATTGTTACAACAGGAGGGGAACAATCTATTCGATAAAAACTTGCTTCGGGGTGCGACAGGGAGAAGTTTTTTACAGGGAAAAGGAATGGATGATGATGATGATGATGATGATGATGATGATGATGATGATGATGATGATGATGAGGATGAGGATGAGGATGAGGATGAGGATGAACCAGGAATGGATGTCCACGGGTATGGGTGTGTGAGGATGTTGATTAGGATGAGGTGCGGATGCTGCTGGGAATGTGGAATGTTTGTTGTTGATTAGATGCTGTGATGTGCTGATGAACTGATAGGCTGAGGATTAGGCTGCGGATGAGGATGATGATGCGGATGAGGATGAGGACTGCGCTGAGGGAGGCGGCATGAGGAGAGGAGGGAGGAGGAAAAGGAGGAGGAGGCTAGGATGAGGATATGGGAAGGATGATAAGGCAGGCGGAGGAGTGAGGAGGAGGAGGAGGCGGGTCCCGGGGGCGAAGGGAAGAGGCGGAGGGCGGAGGCGGAGGCGGAGGGGCGGAGGCGATGGGGAGGCGAGGAGGAGAGGCGGAGGATGTGGAGGAGGAGGCGGGGAGAGGTGGAGGTGAGAGGATGCGGAGGCGGAGAGGGAGGCGGAGGCGAGGGCGGAGGCGGAGCGGAGGCGGAGGCGGAGGCGGAGAGTAGGCGGAGGGGAGGAGGCGGAGCGGAAGGCGGGGGAGGAAGGAGGAGGAGGATGATGATGGAGGTGAGGATGCGGATGAGGAAGGGGAAGTAGGGATGCGTAGGATTAAGGAGGAGGAGGAAGTAGGAGGAGGAGAGAGGAAGAGGAGGAGGAGGAGAGGAGAGAGGAGAGAGGAGAGAGGGGACGAGATGTCGGGGAAGGAGTGCCCACAGAGGGCCGCTGGAAGGGCTTCAGAGGGCGAACTCGAGGAGGCTCTACCAGCCGTCCCCCACGAGATGGCCTCACAGACCTTTAACATGCCTCCCACATGCCTCCAACAGACGCCCAAGAAGCCCACAGAGGGGCCCGAACGGTCCCCGGGAACCATATAAAGTCATTGGCGAGGCTCCCCGGGGCGGTGGGTGCGGTGCGACGCCGGAATGAAATGGTCGGGGCAGAAGGGGTCGGAGTGGAGAGGGTTGGGGAACGCTGGGGTGAGGGCAGTGCGATGCCGAAATAAAGTGATCGGGGCGGAGGGGGTCACGCTGAGGGGGGTGGGGGGGCGGGCGACGCCGAAATATAATGGTCGAGGTGGAGGAAGTCGGGGTGGCGAGGGCACTAGGCAGCTGGGCAACGGTGAGGGCGGCGCGACGCCGAAATAGAGTGGTCGGGGCGGATGGGGTCGTGCTGGTGGTGGTGGTGGTGGGTGTGGGTGGGTCGGGAGGAGACAGGCGCGGGGGGGGGGCGAGCCGGGAGGGGGCGGTGCGACCGCGAAATAGAGTGGTCGGGGCGGAGGGGAGCGGGATGGAGAGGGCACTGGGGAAGGGGGGGAGTGGTGGGAGCTGTGGGGGCGGTGCGGCGCCGAAAGAAAGTGGTCGGGCCGGGGGGGGACAGGGTCGGGTCGGAGGGGGGCGGGGGGCAGAGGACACTGGGCGGGCGGATGGGGGGGAGGCTCGTGGGGGCGGGGCGGTGGGGGCGGTGCGACGCCGAAATGAAGCGGTCGAAGCGGAGGGGGTCACGCGTGGTTGGTGGTTGGTGGTGGTTGGTGTGGTTGGGCGGTGTGTGGTGGTGTGGTGTGGTGTGGTGTGGTGTGGTGGTTGGTCTGGGTGGTGGTGTGGTGGTGTGGTGGTGGTGTGGTGGTGTGGTGGTAGTGTGGTGGTGTGGTGGTGGTTGGTCTGGGTGGGTGGGTGGAGGGGCGGGAGGGGAAGGAAGGTGGGGGCGGTGCGACGCCGAAATAAAGTGATCGGGGCGGAGGGGGGGGGGGTGCAGAACACACTGGGCGGCTTGGGGAGGGGGGGAGGGCCATGGGGGCGGAGCGGTGGGGGCGTTGCGACGCCGAAATAGAGTGGTCGGGGAAATAATGTGGTCGGGGCGGAGGGAGGGCGGGGTGCAGAGGGCACTGGGCGGCTGGGGGGGACGAGGCGGTGGGGGCGGTGGGGGTGGGGCGACGCCGAAGTAAAGGTGTCGGGGCGGGCTGCAGAAGGCACTTGGGCGGCTGGGGAGGGGGAAGGGTCCCGGGGGCACTCTGCCGCCTCCCTCGCGATCTCCGGGTCCAAAACATGTGCGCTCCTCCTCCTCCTCCTCCTCCTCCTCCGTAGCCATTTTGGCTCAAGTGCTGAGGGCAGTGGCACGTTCGGGGGCGAACACACTTTACACCACTGTACTTTCCTTGAGTGGGCAGCCTCTCTCGAAGAGGCGATCCTGCGTGTCGTGCGCAGGCGGACACTTTCGATCCTCGCGTGAGCATTTTGCGACGCGAGTCTTGCGATGGCGCTCACGAAGGAGCATCTTGATGAATGCTTTCGTCAGATGATGGAGAAAATGGGGAGCATGAATCAAGAGATGCAGACGGTTCGAGCGTCGGTCGCGGCGACGGATCAGAATGTTGCTGCTCTTGCTGCTCGTGTTTCAACGCTAGAGTCCTCTGCTTCGGCCTCTGTGGATGCTGCCTCTGAGGCGGCCATTCTCGCCAAGGTGGACGCTCGGCTCGCGCAGTTTAACGATGACCTCGAGACCACCACTGGCACAGGCTCGGTCGCAGGATCAAGCTGGTCGGGAGGCACTCACGGTCGGAAGCGCACTCGTCTGCTCGGTCAAGGCTCTGGACATCCTGGAGATGTTCGCAGCAGGATCGACGACGACGACTCGCTCAATGACAAGACCAAAGCATGGATTGGCGGGTTCCCTCGGAAGATGTTGGCCACAGTCTTGAAAGCGCATTGGGAGTCGATCAAGACGACGGCTACGACAGGTACCTCTGCGCCTCCCATTCCGAAGATCTACTCGCTCGCTACCTCGTACTCCATCCAGTTCGCCAAGGCAGAGGAGTGCGAAGCCTTCGTCAGCTCTATTCGTGTGAATCCACTTCTGCTTCAGTGGCAGGATCCCAGGAACATGCAGACCGTTCAGCTCAAAGCTCGTCATGACCAAAGCCTGGGTACTAGAAAGAAGCAGCGCGTCATGGGGAAAATGTGGGAAGGAGTTTTGGCCGTTGTTAAGCGTAATGGCAAGTGGAACGCCGAGTTCAAGCTTGGCACGAACGGACCTCGTGGTTTGCTCTTCGTTCAGAACTCGATTGACTGCTGGGAGTTGTTCACGTTGGCGCCCTCTCAGACCACTGGCAAGATCGAGGTCAAGCCCGTCGTTGAGAACCTCATCGAGTGGGGTTTCGACGAGACCCAGTACAATCAGATCATCAGCGACGCCATGCAGCGCATCGAGGCCGAGGACGCGCTGCGCACGGCCTGATGTAGGCCCAA